TTTAAATTTATCAATTTTATTTAAATAATATGCATATTTATTATAAAGTCAAGATATAAAAAAAATTTAATACAAATTTTTACATATATCTATTATATAAAGTTTCATATCTTTGGAAATAAATACCGCGTCGAAATTAATGTAAAATTTTGCTTTACCAACAGTTCGGCTTACAATAAATTAGAGCGAATAACTACTCTCTCTGTGGCCACATTTGAATGGGTAATTGTAAATACATAATTATAAAATTTTTATATGTTTATTGCTTAAATTTCACCTATAATTTTGATAAGATAAGTTTAAAAAATACTCCGTATTACGCATTGGAGAGTGTAATAAATTCTCTAAACATATCATAGATATTTAATTTAGAGCTATCTACAATTCGTTCAAAATGTTCGAACTTGATTGTATCATTGAATAACTTCAAAATATTTATATTTATTGTCATTAGATCATATCCTTCTCAATAAATTGGAAAATTGTCATAATTCTGAGCTACTTCCTTCTTTGATTCGAATGGCTAAATGACAATTTTACAATTATACCATAAATTCTATGCTAATATTGAGTCTTTATTATACCAATCACATCCTCCATAATTGATAGTAAATTAATTATTATAACTTCATTGGGTTCAAGCATTTTTATTTTATGTAAATAGTCGCATACAGTTAAGATTATGTCCAGATAGGCTTTTGTTAAGTTTTCTTGGATAAGTGATTTTAAAATTATTGGTGGATTTCTGATTTTTTAAATATGCTCTTAAAGTCTTTCTACTGACGGAATAAGCGAAAGTCATCTTTTAAGGACATTTTTAAGTTTATTACCTTATTTCTCGATCTAATTAATTATAACACTTCATGGTTATTGATTCAATGTCAAAGGGTTTCTTCGTTACATGAACTTGAAGAATTTGCATCATCAAGTGTACCTTAACATTTTTTAAATGCATACTTCTTCACTCTTTATTCCTTGCAACTCTATTTCACCATTCGCGTCCAGTCATATATCAAAATTTAGCAAAAAATAAGTTATTTAATAAATTTTGAATGAAATATACAACTGCTTTTCTAATATTAATTTATTTAATATTAAATTTCATAAACCAGATACTTTATGAAATTTTAAAATTTATGAATACTTAGAGGGATTTTTGGCGAGATTATTTAACCTTTTTATTTTCGCGGGACATTTGCTCGCTTAATTTTTTCCTAGACATATATTCACTTAGCGGGACTGCCCAATAATTAAAAATATATTTTAAAGATTTAAAAATTATAAGTCCTCGAACCTTTTATATTTCTTCCTTCACTTGAATTTCAGTTAAACTTTTTTAGAGTATGTTCAAAACCTGTACCCTCTAGTTGGTGGTGAACCTCATTTTATACTTTAAATAACGCCGGAGCGGTGGTGGCATCCAAAAGTATTTAAAATTGAAACTTTTTGCTTCTTTATCTTTTGTTGCTATATAAAGAATATGTAAAAGATTTTTGACTATTTAAAATTTTAATTTTATGGCAATAAAAAAAAGTGATATTTTAAAAAAAATATATTAAAATTATTTGGGGGAGGGAGAGTCTCAGCGAATTAATTTAGCTTTTTAAAGTATGCTCAAACCCTGTTAAATATGGAGCTATTTATCACCAATACTTGGTGTTGAACCTCACTCTATACTTTAAATAAAGTTGAGAGGCAGCGAAATAAAACTTTTAGGCTTCTTTATTTTTTGTGTCGCTATAAAAAAAATATGAAAAAGATGACAATAGGGAGAAATGGGATAAAAATTTTAATTGATTTTTTTTAGAGTGGGATGGGTTGGGGGGGGGGGCGGGCTTAGCCTCTCAGCAAAATTTGGAAAGTGGACTAAAATAGGAAAAAATTAGCTGGGGGCTTAGCCCTCCTCGCAATACACTTCCGATCTTACCCCTAACAAAAAGTAAAAAGAATAAATGACTTTGGATAACAGACCGAAAATGATGAACATTTAGTATTTCCATACTCATAGAATAGAGTAATATATCAAGTTAATTTATATTTTTTATTTAAATACTGAATTTAAAAAAAGCGATATTATAGATGGGGTAATTTTTTTGTTTTGAACATTATATAGATTGGATGAGCAATATAATAATTGAGTGAAATTTAAGAATGATTAAAAAATTTTAAAGAATACTTTATAATCTAATTAGAAATATGATAAATTACTGTTTTTTTTGTTAATATTGATAATATTTACTAATTAAGATTGTTAATCAGATATAAAGGAATTATGATTTTTAAAACAAATGGACTATAACAAATAAAATATAATTGAATTTATTTATAATTTTTATCATATCATACATATTTTATATTCACAATATACAAATCAGACACGAAATTTATATTATTTACACAATCCCAATTTTTCTTTATAAAATTTTTATGGGATTGGACAATTGTGAAACAATATAATATATTATACTACAAAGTATTAATAAATAATGCATAATAATATTTTTGATATTAATTTATAATTACAGATGACAATGATATACAAATACTTTTATAATTTCAATTTGCTATATACAAAATATATATAATTTTATTCTTCTCTACATGCATAATTTTGTGTCGAAATGATAAAAATCCAGATATTTATTATATTCCACAATCTACAAAAAAAAGATACATATATTATTTCGATAAATGTATACAGAAGTATTGGGCATAGAAATTTGTCGCATGATTATTACAAGGTTATAAAAACTATAATTCCACTTTTGTTGATTTAGGTCAAAATCTATTCACTTCTTTTACAGTTAAAAAAACCCTTCCAAAATTAATGTGAAAAAAAATGTTATTTATTTTAATCTTATATAAATCGACTTTAAAAAATTACGCATAAAAAATAAAAGCTATGTTAAGATAAGAAGGAATTTACCCCCCCCCCTCCCCAATAGTATGATTAAATTTTAAAGAGGGCACTTAAAATATTTTTCTTAAATATAATTCTATCCCAAAATTCAGCGATAAATAAATCAAATGATTTTTTATAAAATCGTCTACTTTTTATTTTCCACCATTAATCATTTATAGCTTAAATATTAAACACATAAGATGTGTTATTTTGTAAAATTAATTTAAGAGGAGTTATAAGAACTGACGAATGTCAATTGTATAGTAGCTAAGATGAGCCAGAAGGGAACACAATCTATGCAATAATTGTCATTTTCCACTTACACACATAAGGTTAAATTTTCCTCATATATTTTATAAATTTCTTTCTCTTTTATCTTAAAGAAAATTTGAGATCTTCTTGAAGATCTGTTGCATGACTATTCATTATAGTTGGATAACCGGCTTAGCCTAGCTGATTTTTTTGGCTAAAGCTAAATTTAAGCCGATTTTTTAGGCTAAGCCTAAGCCAATTTATTTTGGCTACTGCTAAATTTAATCCGGTATTTTTTGAATAAGGCTGAGCTTAAATTGATTTTTATGGGTTAAAGTTGAGCTTAAGGTGGTTATGATTGGCCAAAGTCCTTCTTTACTGTAAATTTAGTAATAATTTAATTCAGAAGGGTAAAAATAATTGTCATATTCGTCATTATAAAACTTAATGTTTTTTAATGAAAATAGGTAATATCTAAATCTGTTTTAGAGAAAATATTATAATAATGTAATTCAAGAAATATAATCTCCAATCTCCCTATTTTAGGAAAACCTGTAGTTATTTGAATTTGTGACAATAATCATATTCGTCATTTTTCCAATTTTTTTTAATGAAAATAGGTGTAAACAAATATTAATTTATAACTGTTTTAGTGTAAATTCAATAATAATATTATTATTAAGTATGAGAATAGTCATATTCGAGATTTTAAAAATTTTTACATATTTTTTAATGAAAATAGGTAAAAATGATATTTCAAATGTTTTATTTAGACAATGTCGTCAATTAAATAAAACTAATTGAGCTTGATTTTTTTGATAAAAAAATATCATTATATTTGCTTCTATTTACTTGGTTCAATTCAAAGTATTTGTAAATAATTTTATACTACAAAAAACTCTGAAGACTTTTTAAAACTGAAACATTTATTATTATATTGGGGTGCAATAAAAATTTAAAAAATATGTAAGCTTTATCTTATGATTCACCCTTATGAATTTCATTATTATAAATTTTTATAAGTAAAATATACATTTTTACCTATAGATTGTAAAGTTTAAAAATGCCATATATGCTCTTCTGAATTATACATCATTGAATTATAACTAAAAAAATTTAAAAATATTCATTATTAGCTATTTTCACTAATAAAAACTGTAAAAATATGAGAGAAAATAAAATAAATTTGACTTAAGTTTAGACTTAAGCATTTAAAAATAGCTAAAGTAGCAAATCAAATTAGTAGCCAAAATAAATAGGCTCAGGTTAGTCACAATAAAACGGCTCAAGCTTGGCCTTAGCCAAAATAAATAAGCTCAGGTTTAGCTTTGGTCACAATAAAATGGCTCAAGCTTGGCCAAAAAATAAAAGCTCATAGCCAATAAAAACAGTTTAGGTTTAGCTAAAAATAATCAGCTCATGAGAGCCAAAAAACGGCTTATGATTATCCAAAAAATATCGGCTCAGTATTACCCAAAATAAATCGGTTTACCCAACTATATTATTCATATTAAAAACAAGCTCACGTAGGCCTAATGGTAACCTAGGTAATCACTTATCCAATAAACAATTATGAGTTGCCATACATAAGTCATCGGGGGGGGGGGGGGACATCATCGGGGGAGGGGGGATACTTGAGTCAATATAAACCTATTATTAATTCTTTGACCAAAATTCACTCCCCGTCATAACCTAGTCTATGATGTGATGTTCTGGTAATAACTTAACGATAAATTATCAATAAATGTTATACTTCTTTCCCATCATGAAAAATAAAATTTTTATATCAAGATAAGCGAAACACAATATATTAACAATATTAAAAAATTAAATACCTTCGAAAGGTGTTCGTTGAGAACCCGACATTTTAGAATTAATTCAGGGTACCCCTACAATTATAGGCGCCGCAAAGACAGGGTATTTTTTCGTCTTCTATGGGAAATTTGTAGTCGTAAGTTATTTCCTCGCCAATTTTGATGGGTTGCTTGGAATATATGACTATTTTTTTGACCTGACCGACAGTTATTATTTTGGCGTAACAGTTAGGCTTTTTTTATGTAAGGTATATCAAAAAAACATTATATTTGTAATGAAATATAGAAATGAATAATAGGTTACCTGAATTTGGACTAAGTTTTATATTTATAATTGCCATATGTATTAATGGGATGAACAAAAAAAATATATACTAAAAAAGAAATTGCAATAAATTTTTAATCGGGCAAATTCTTATAAATATCAAAATTTTAAAAGAATTTAGAAATGAAATTACCGATATAATTTAGAGAAAAAAATAATAATGAAATTGGACAAATAGCGTTTAGTCCAAATAAGCGTACTAAAATTGGAGTAGAGCTATTATTCACACTTTTTGTTTACAAGTGTGCCTCCACTCAAAAAATATATCAAAATTAACTTAAAATGATGCCACGAAAAATTTTTCAATACACAATGATATCTTGACAAATTGCTAATCTTAGATAGTCAATATTGAGTTTTCTATTTAAAAAAATAATAAAGGCATCATTCTTAGATATGCGCCCCTCTCCTCCACTCTATCCCCCGCTTCAATGCGTTAGCCGCACTTAGAATTCAAGTATAACTTAAGCCAAAATATTTAAAAAAAGGGATGCGTTTTTACGTTGCACGAATGGTTGATAAACCGGGCCAGGTTCCCGCACTTCGTAGCGTCGATAATGGTCTCGGAATCTACCCGGAATAGATAACTGCTGCAATTGGAGTAAAGCAATTTTTCTCTTTTGTCGGCGATAGATTGTCTCACAATTTCCCCGACGTATTCTATTATCATTTCGTCGCTGGCCGCTATGTTTTCGCGCGCGTAAAGCCCCCAATCGTGTATTCGGCTTTTCTTAAAAGCCAGTTGCTTTTTGCGGGCCTAAAGGGATAAAAATGTGTAATTTAAAATTATGATTCTTCTTTCTTACCTAAATATAGTTTATAAGGTTAACTTTTTTGTTTTAAATTTTAATAAAAATGATAGCTTTTTGTTCCGCGTAATTTGATTTAAAAAATTAATTAAGGGTTAGCAAGTTGGTCAATTGACCATTCAAATGTGGTAAATAAATGGAAAGAATATTTATCTGGTCAAATACCTATTTTATCCATTAATTCAGTTGCAATTTATTTAATATTTATTTAAATATATATTTGCAGCATGGCAAGAATGGATTAAATTATAATAACTATTTAATTTAAAATATAAAAAACAAAAGAATTTGTGATCATTATTAATTTGAATCTTAATAAATAAATATATAATTTGATAATTAAATTATTTGCAAAATATTAATACTGTCTTAAAAAATAAATAGTGTAATTCCCTTTAATAACTTTGGCCGATCCATTTAAATTTTTTGTATAACTATTATAAAAAAAAGCCGTCCCTTTATTCAAGAACCAAAAGGTCCTATAGTTGAATAATTCCCTTTGAACGTTTTGAACGTCCCTTTTTAATTTTGTTAATATTTTGTATACTTTAAGAAAGATTTCCTTTATCCAAGAGCCAAAAGGTCTTTAGTTAGAATAATTCCTTTCAATAATGTTTTGGCCAATCCCCCTTTTAATTTTGACATTTTGTATAACTACCATAAAAAAAGCTTATCCTTTATCCAAGACGAAAATTCCAACATTAACATTTTTTAATAATGTCAAAAATAAAAGTTTGGTACATTTTGTAGCTTTACTCACTCTTTTAAAGAAATATTAAGGGATTTTTTTTTATTTCCAATATTGACAATGAGAGTTGACTCATGATAAACGTCTCTAAATTAATATATAGCTTCGATAAATAAATGAGAAGAAAAAAAATGCGTGTATTTTTCCTGTCCCTGGCTCTCTCGCAAGAGCTTGTTCTTTTCTGGCACTCCTGATTGTTGATATATGCGAATTTTATACCTTAACGGATAAATTATCTTGACAACTAATTTTTTGGTATTGACTAAGATATCACAGAGCCTTTTAATGAGTTATGGGGGAGGGGGGGGGGGTCAAACCATTGAATACAAAAAAATAAACTTGATGGTTAACAAGCATTGATTAAAAAAATCCTTCGTTTATATTAAAGCAGCTGAATGAATAATAGGAAAAATTGTATACTACTTTTCTGTGTGGTATTAAATTACATAAGAAAATGAATTAAACGGAATATTTGGTACGATATAATATATGTGATTTAGGAATTCTGACATCGCCATAAAATCTAGGTGATTTAATTTATCACCTTTTCTATGTAAATTTCAAATGGATGCAATGTAACTTGGAATGCCGTGCAATGATATTTAAAACAATAATAAAGAATAATCTTCAAATACGTCGCCGATAATTAAACACTGATAGTTTCTAAATCATATTTTAAGTTCGATGTGGAATATATTTTGATGATCGTAAATAAAAAAAATGGCGGACGTGGATAATCATTTTCAAAAAAAGAAAATTAGAAATTCGCCTGAAATTTGGGAAATTGGTTCTAAATGTTAACTATCCACTGCAACACATTGTTCGAAAGTAATATAGGGGTCACATATTTCTCTATAAACATTTTCTAGACGCGTTCTTTTAAAGGTGAAACGCCATAAAATTCTTTTACTTCATCAAAATAACAGGTTGGTAGATTACAAATCATTGCGCCATAACAACCACATAATTTTTTTAATATATATCCCCTTCTTTGCCATTTTAATCGTTTTTAATTAAATTCGATAATTCGCAACCTAAAATCAGGAACATTCTGGTGCATGTTCCTAAAAAATGCATATGATATCCATCCTTTTGCTTCGAATATAGATTTCACGTTTTAAGCTTTGAAAATCCAAATGATACTATGATAGATTTTGGCAATTGTTAAAGAGTATGGAGTTTCACTTTTAAAGTAAGCATTGAGAGATAGCTTGATAGAAGATGATACATCCTTATTACTTTTATAAAAATGGTTTCGGGGGATATAACAACAATGGAGACTATCTCCCAATCTTCCGACCAATTTATTTTAAAATTTCAAGAAAACGATTTATTTTTATAGGCCATTCATTTATTTGAGAACACGAAAAAACATTCCACACCAAACTTAAAAATAATTTAAAAAATAACATTATTTAATTATTGGCGACTTCTTCGGAAATTATTCATTTAATGATGAAGAAGTGCAAATTTATCATTGGACAACTTCCCAAGTTACATACATCCATTTACATACATTATAAAAGAGGTGATAAATAAAACTACATAAACTTTGTGTCAAGGTTAATCAAATTGTCAAATAAAAGTATTAAAATGCAAATACGATGCAAAATCTCTTAAATACAAAAATACTTTTAAGAATTTCATAAAGATAAATATACTAAAATATTTATTACAAATATTATAATGAATATCTTTATCATAGTTTATATAACATTTTTTATTAGTGATTTTTTAAAAAAATCTAATATAATATTTAAAACATTGCAAGCGTAGTTATAGCAGCAAAAAAATCGCATATTATATAATAAATTGCAAACATAGTTTTCGGTTCAAAAATAAGTATATATGAAATTCAATATTAAAAGTTTATGAAAGAATAATAAATAACAATTCTAATATCTATAATAATTTTAAACATTTATATTCAAAAAAATTAACGATTATTTATATAAAGTTTATCCAGTAATATATCTTGGTTGCTTATTTGGCCTAATAAGTTATATTCACAAAGCTAAATATTCTCTCAACCATAGCTGATGAAGGTAAAATAGAATTATATGTTTTAAAAAAATTTAAGCCTGAGCTTGGCCCGAAATTCCTAATTAAAAAAAACATAAATAAAGACATTTTTACAAAGTTTAATGAAGTAAAAAAATACCTAATCATTTTATTTTGATAAAACAAAAAAAAACCTCATTTTCTATAATATTTTTACCCCGGGCCAATTTTTTAAAAAAAAATAAATGCATAAGATAAAGGCGCATTAAACTGGAAATCATTGGAGGTATCATTAATTACCATTTACCATAATAATGGAAATAATAGTGATCACCATATGCAAACTTTATCTTCTTGAGTTTTGGAGGCTTCCTCCAAAGGCCTATTTTTGGAGATTTTTTTTCTCATCACATTCTATCCATCGATTTTTAAAAATATGGATACATTCATATGTTAAGCCAAACCGTTTATAAAAAAAATTTACCATGGCTAGGCCATAACGGGTGGATGACAATAATACAAATAGGATATTATAATTTTGTTGATCTCTTTATGATAAAAAAAATAGGTACAAGTTCGCCATAATAGTAATTATTTTGGCCTCATAATTGGTCGCTATGACTTTGCATAACACTCTAGTATAAATATATCAATTTCATGCTCATCATCATTTTCCATTTTATGGATAATCATATGAAAGGTAAAAATTTGAACTATATCATCAATCAGGTAGAGATATAAAAAGAGAAGTATAAGCTGCGAGGAAAATTCAATAAATTTATTCAAATACCAAGGGCAGAAGAAAAATGTATGCAGTATTCCCCATTCGTTTAGCAAAGCTTAAGATAAAACCATATTCCAAAATAAGGAGCGTTTAATATGGAGAATTATAAAATGTGATTTTTTGATCGATAATGTGTTGATTGGTGAGATTAGATAATTTAGAATATGTATGTAACATAATGATTGCTAGGATTTGAGCAGCAAGTAGATATATCGAGATGATATTAAATCCACTCAAGCACTAACATAATCTGCTTACCCAGACTGAAACCAAAAAAATATAAGTATCTCAACAATATTATTTTCATCCCAATAATCATATCCACTAAAGGCTTTTTCGCCTATAAAATTTAAGTTTTTAAAAGTTCTTGGAGGTAAAATTAAATATTACATTAAAGAAGCGATAGAACTTTTATATATTAGACAAAAAATAAGAATCGAAATTTTTAAATATAAATAATTTTATTCCTTTTTGGGAACACAACTTTAAACACATATATAATTTATTTTAATATAGTTTTTAATATATGTCATTTCTATAAATATTTTTAAATAAAAAAATACGATTTTTAAAATAAATAATTTATATATTCAGCGATACTAGATTTCCATTACATGTTAAAATGCCATATTTTAAGAATAATAAGCCCATAACGGATACTGAACGTACATAAATCTCACAAAAATAAATTGCTGACTGCAAAAAAACTCGATTTAAAAAATAGAAAGTATTATTTATAAATTATTGTCATGGAAAACCATATCGGTAAATATTCACATACCGAAACGATATTTAAAATTGATTAATATAAAAGGAAACTGCATAAAGTCCAATACCTGATGTAGGGATATTAGGGTTGGTATATATTAGATATAGGCGAAGATCTAATTTTGACTAATTACTTTTAAAGCTATATAGATTTCACAATTTTTAAAATTCGTCTTGAAATATATGTTATTTATCCTATCTGCAATTTCTATAAAAATACATATATGGGGTAGGTTAAATTGTGTATAGATATATACATATGGGGCTTAAAATATTTTAGCATATGACTATTTACTAATACACTTGGGTTTCGTAACAATAGGCTAAATTATATAAATATTATATTTTCGAATCTTTTAATTAAATTATTAAACAATTTTTAGAAAAATTTATATATTTGGCCATTCAATTGATGACTGAATCGCATTTGACCGATCTATTACACAGCCTTAGTTTACTAAACTCAAAGGAAGCCATTTTGAGCCATAATAATAGGTAATAATGGTTACTATGGGCATTTTAATCAGTTTAGAATATGAGGACCAAATAAGTTATGTTGAGGATGATTGCTAAACTAGTTGCGGCTGAAGATTTTTTTAAAATGTATAATTATCAGGAACCTGCAGAGGTCAAAATTTTAGTAAAAATAGGGAATTTTACGAAAAATTTTAGCATCGACGGAATTTTATTTCCCTAATTTGAGTTGTGAATATTAAACGCTCTATGTGATTTTCTAACATTTCTCAAGCGGTTAATTGATATTTCCAATTTATTTTTTAAAAATCGGCCCAGCCCAGATTTTCATTTTTATAAATATTCAAGCCCAGCCGATTCTTAAATTATACTACTTTTCGGCCCCTTTAAAGTCGAATCGGGTTTGGAAGCCAGGCCTGTAGGTCTCTGATTATTATTACTCAAAAAAAAATTGGGTATAACAAAAGAATCATAACCTTTAGCTGATTAAATTTAATCAGATCGCCGAGCTCTTGACTCTTAGACCAAACTTGCCTCCTAAACTCGCTTCTCACTTGTCTGGAGGTTGTAGTATTGAGGTGGTGTAACAAATTTCTTTGATTATTAGTTATACCTATATCGTGTTTTGTGTGAATTTTAAATAAAGTTTATTTTGTATAATATAACTTATTACAATACATTGAAATATAATTTTTTTTTTTTGAAATGTTTAATTATTACCTGTGATATTTTTTGCATTGTTTAAATTGCTGCTCGAGGAGGTATCATTGAGGTGAGTCTGATTATTGTTCAATTTTTTGAAAGGTGTATCTGCCCTCTTTTCGTTCTGATTAATATATCATGTATTTAAAAAAATAAATATGTATAATATAATATTGATTTATCATTTAAATAAATTTTAAAAATTAAGGTTCTGTGTACTGTTTTTCAAAAACCTTGATTTAGTCGATTTTTGAAAAAAAATGTTAAATCAAGATTTTCGCCAAAATAAAATTAACTAGTTAATTTATTTTCTATTTTATCATTATTAACTGGTATAAAAACAAGATAGCTTCTTTGTGGGGGGGGGGGCGATCATTTAACCAAGATTTCTTAAAAATATTGCTTTAATACAATTATCGATAAAATTATAAATTTCTTAACATATAACTTAAAACGAACCTAAACCTTTAAAAAAATTTGTAACCTGAATCTCTAAACAAATTCTTGAGCCTTTTGGTAATCAACTCTTTAAAAGATGATTAATAATCGGTTTTGATTGACAAGTATCAGTAATTATTTTAGATATTTTTGTACATTATTGGTAGTAGCCAGGTCAGCTCCTCAAGTTAGTACTCAACCTTAAAAATTATTCTTTTTCCTTTACATGTGTAAAGATTCGACTCATTTTTAAAGGTTCAAATAGAACGGATATAAATTTTTTTTTAAGAACCAACCCTGAACTTTAATCCGCTATTTTTATCTGAGCCTAAAACAGAAACGATATTCGTTATTACAAAACCGTTTCAGTCAGAGAATATTAATAAAAATAATTCCAATTTAAAAATATAAAATCTAACCGTTAACGAATATAGTGCCGTTTTTTGTTCGGATGTAATCTTATAATAACCCTCCGTTCTGGCGCTCCCGCTCTTAGTACTTGTGAGAGATTGCAAGGAATCGTTACTGAGGATGCCCCTTGATTTCTCCTTCTTCCTCTTCTTTTTAGTGGGAGGTTCATAGCTATGGGTAGGTATACACGAGCGATATTGAAAATTTCATTCCAGGAAGGCCCCAAAGAATGAGAAAGATAAAAAGAGTTAAGGAATCATGTGCTGGAAAATATATAATTCGAAAAGCAGGCATTCTAGCCCACACTCATATCAATTGTAACACCTACTAACCTTAACCATGTTTAAAATTTTTTTTAACAAGGTAAAAATTTTGAGCTACTCAGTAATTTATAATTGTTGGTTAGATTTAAAATAATTTGTATGAACAACGAAAATAAAAAGGATATCCATATGGGGAACCCAGTGGGTGTATTCAAGCCAAACCAGCTCACCCGTCTTATTGTTGGCATTCAGGATGAACGTCGAATTGTTGGCTCTGTGGTGAGCTAAGTATCGTTCATAGGATTTCCTGACGTAAGCGATATCTTCCAAGTCTATACCAGGGTTCCACATATCGTATAAGAGTTTCATTTCTTCTATAGCATCGCGAGCCTGGTAAGTAATGATAGCGGATTTGGGGGCTTTTTTTAAAAAAAAATTTTTTGTGAATATTAGGATAAGGATTAAAAAAGGCATAATGCTAAAATATTTCCAAATTGTTGATGATATAAAATGTTGTGATTTTAAATCAATTGGTCTTGTTAATCAGATAAAAATAATATTCCTAATACCTCAACTAATATTGTTAATTTATCATCAAAATTTTCTTAAGCATCCATTACTAACTACTTTTATAGCTCACAATTTTTAAATTTACCGGTATAGATCTTAGGAGGCCTTTCTTTTGTAGAAGTTGTATTTTGTTTGATTGGAACGGCGGGAGGTAGTGAGTAACAATGTTCAGATAAAAGCAGTTTTTCCACGAGCGGTTTTTGGGGTTTCTTGTTCTGATAAACGTGTTGGTTAACTCTTTCGACTCCTTTATTGTTGGTTCTATCCGCCAGGACGTTTTCTTTGTTCTTGAGTTTAGCTTTCCTAGAGCTTTCTTTGTACTTTGGATCCGAAGATTTCTTTCGTTTGAGTTTCTTTTCGTTGTCAGTAATATCCTGATAATATAGTAAACAGAATAAAGATTTCTCGTTATTTAAGAAATTTTTTTATATTAAAATACATTTTTGATCTATGTTTTTCGAAATCTGTTTAATAAACTAAATTCAGATAATTTACGGAGTATATCTTATCTAATTAGGGTCTAATAGAACCATAATTTGGCAGACGCATAAGATACTAGATGCCAGGAATAAAAGTTTAATATATAAATCTGATTTACAACAAATTCGTTGGTTGATTCGTCGATAGCAGTAAAACTGGTAGTGTCTGTAACAGGTTTTGTCAACCCCCCAATGCTACTTTTGACTTTTTCGGGTTTAGCCACCTTCGATTTTATGATTTCTTTAATCGATGCCGTTGTTTTAAGGTCCTCTTTAGTAGCATCGTAATTCGCTTTGATGCTTACGGCTCTCGTGATATCATTGAAAGCGTGATTGGCGTTTTCGTCGACTAAGAATTGTTTGATCCCTTTTTGCTTTTTAGTAGTTGTTGGAATTTGTCGCGTAGAGTCTTTCGTTTCATTATCCGAAAGATAGGATTTGTCTAAGGAACATGAATTTTCGGATATACTGACTCGTTCCTTGAATTTGATCCTAAAATTATGTTTGAGAAATTGTTAATACATGTGTTATTAAATGTTAAATCTAAAGTAATGAAAAAAGCCAATCAATATAATAAAATTGATTTTCTTCCTTAACTTAAAAAAGCGCATAAATAACATAATTTATTCCTAGTGATGATGAGATTAAGATTTTTTAATCTCGAGTATCAAAATTTACTTGTGAGAATTTTTTTTAAGGGTTCCGTTTTCTTCCTCGATTTCGGAATCATCGATAGAAGAGCTAGGAATTTCGGTTTCCGAATCTGGTCTTTCTGCTACTTCTCCCATGTCATCTAGATGAGAAGAAAGATAAGAGGAATCGCTGAGAACAGAATCGATGTCGTCTTCTCTTTCCAAGTCTATCGAATTATCAAGAAAAGAGAGGTTTATTCATTTTAAGCATAATTTAAAACGAAAACGTGAGTTAGATTTTTTTATATTTTTATAATAGATGAAATAGCACAGCTTAAACTTTAGCTAATATTTTTAGTTTTTACCTAACTAGGTAAAACAAAAGACTTCGACCTCTAAGTAAAAAAAACTGGTTTAAAACTAAGTTAAGCACTTTTTAGAATCGCGTTATTATTGGCACTTTTTAAGTGGCAAACAATAATTAGGTTAAAATATGGGAACAGGAAAAGGGGAAAATAGAATTATTTTAAAAAAATTGAAATAATAATATTAAAAAGCAGGATCATCTCCTTTTTAAATGTTATAAAACAATTTTGCCAGTCATTACCTTTGTCAACTTTTTTCCTCAAAATATCTTGGAAAACTTGTCAACGGGTAATTTATTTATTCGTAAAAAAATATTTAATCACCTTCCCCTAAATTCACCGTTAACAAGAAAAAACCTATTGGTCATTATATCATTGCTTGTTCGTGGTAAAAAAAAAATTTTATAAGATAGGTATTTTTTATACCAAGATATTTAATTTAATTAATATAAAAATATGCAGATTGGAACTGCCACAAATCTAAAAATCAGAACTCGAACCCTCTTTTAAAATTTATTGGAACCAAAACTGGAGCCCATTTTATAATTTCTAGAAAGAGATTTTAACTAGAGATCTACTTCGGGCCTAAATATCATTAGGCCCAGCCCGAAATTTTTTTAAAATTGTCTTAGCCAGGAACCATATTTTCAAAAAGTACTCACCTATCAAAGTAAATTCGGGACCGGGGGGGGGGGGGGTCGAGCCTTGCAGATCACTAATTCTAACAATTGCAGATAAGAACTAGAACCCTTTTTCATCCAAGTTCCATAATCTAAAATACAACCCTTACCTTGTATTTTTTCTTCTTTATCTCTATCGATTTCTTTATCGTCAAGCACGTCCTTGATAATACCGTCAAGGGGTGAAGCGTTCTTAGGGGATTCTTGAATAATTTGATCGCCTTTCTTCTTAGTCTTGATATTTGCTTTGTTATCCGTGGCAGGTTGGTAATCAAGGCTAGCTTTTTTATTCGCTTTATTAACTGTGCCATCTTTATCTTTGAGTGATTCGAATTTTTTGTTTTTAGTTGGCGTTTGTGAAGGTTGGGGTTGAGGCTTTTTGATTTTCTGGTAAAATAAAAGGCAGGAACGAATATATGAAGTGATCAAAATTGAAGTAATATTATATTATTTATCTTTTTGTATATAGTTAGCGGCCATAAATTAACATATGTCAAAGAATATCATAAAATATTACATTTTATTGGAGAAAGGAATGCGATTATTGTAATTAATGTTGATTCAATATAATAGAATACATGTGGATGGGATTAATGTAAATGGTAGTGTTAATTCAATATAATAGAATACAATAATATATTATATTACATGTGAGAAGAAAATGGGATTAATGTAATTGATAATGTCGATTCAATATAATAGAAAACAATAATACATTATATTACATGTTTAAAGAAATGGGATTAATGTAAGTGTTTAGATGTGATACTTGTATGATTAATGCACCTCTATTACCAAGAGTTAGGCAAAATCACTGGGTGCAGTCAGATAAACCCTGGTATCAAATTTACATAGATTTTTGAACCTATTAAAAAAATTATGGGTTGATAATTACTGATAGATACTCTCGATGGCTTATCAAGGTTAAAAACATTAACACCATTACCACTATAATTAAATTATATAAAGTTGTTTAGATTCGGTTAACCAGTAGAATTGGTATTAGATAATGGACCAGCTTTTAAGTATTATGAATTCAAAAAATTTTTACAAAGGTTATTATACATATTTTTACTCCTGGTAGTTACCCCTCCTCTAATGGGATGGCAGAGAGGGCTGTTTGTACAGCCAAGAAATATATTTAAAGATTAGGGGGTTGGGATGAGTTAGTGCAGCAGATTTTCTATTAAATTATAATAGTGTTAATCATTCGGTAAAGAATTTTCCACATGCAACTAGATAGTTAGGTAGAAAATTGAGATGAAAATGGATTTTTTAGAAAATAATGACTGTGATATCGAGCCTGATTGTAAAAGAATTAATTATAGGTAACTAAGTTTTTGTGAAAGAGTACAAGTCAATATTGCCATGAGCAGATTGTCATTGGAAGGATCAGTAATACCATATGGAAAATCAAGATATATTGTAAAGTTGTTATAAGGCACATCAATCAAATAAGAGATCGTTGACAAGCTTGTTTATAACTTCAATTATTAACCTATATAGAATCATACATGTTTACATACATTTATATATTTTTTTATGCTCACAATTACAATATATCATCCTCTTCCCACATGTAATATAATATATTATTGTATTCTATTATATTGAATCGACATTATCAATTACATTAATCCCATCCTCTTCCTATATATAATATACTGTATTATTTGAATCAACATTAATTACAATAATCCCATCCCCTTCCCATATGTAATATAACGTATTATTGTATTCTATTATATTGAGTCGACATTATCAATTACATTAATCCCATCCACAAAAAATGTAATGTATTATGGTATTCTATTATATTGAATCAATATTAATTACAATAATGTCCTCTATCCAATAGAATGTAATATTTTAGGACACCCTTTGACACAAGTTATATAAATTTTTATTGGAATTTTTTTTTTTAAATTTTTATTGGTATGTAGTAATATTATTTTATCTTTTTGTATATTGTTTGCGGCTATATTTTAACATAATGGTAAACTTATATATTAATTTTCTTTATGTTAAATAATAAATACTAAATTGATTGAATATATATATGAAAAATACTATACTTAAAAATACTTTTTGAATTATCACGCTTTCTTTTCATATAATTTAATTTTGATTATTTGTTTTATAAATAAATCTTTGTTCACATTTCATTCATATCAAGTATTATAGTTTTACTGAGTTAATCCCTAACTTAAATTAAAACAAAAATTATAAGGGAAATGCTTTGCTTTCATATTTCATTGTATAATAGGAAAGTGATAACACAAACCTAGGGGAATTTAAATTGATAGCCTTAATAATAAAGCTAAGAAAGTGTAAAACCATAAGGAAAACGTGGTTAGACAATTTTATCAGAATTTTTTGCGTGACAGCTTTAAAAAAAGGGGGATATTAATACTGTTGGGGACTTTTAAACTTAGAGGAAAAAAATATGAATAAAAATAGTGGTCAAATATTAACCCTGAAGGAAGGCATTTTAGGCATAGATGCACGAATACCGAGGCTAAAAGATGAATTTTCGTAAGGTTTGAAAGTGGTGGACTGCGTTGTTGAAAAGGAGGGCTCGAATAGAGAATTCAAGAGGAGTTGCGTAGTGTCAACGCCAGTTTTAAAAGCTGAAAATTATTTTAGAGTATAAATTTTAATTCAACGAAAAACTCAACCTGTAGGTAAGGTTAAAAAGTGTCCAATTTATAATATATGCTAGCCGTAGCCAGACACACACAAGAATCAACTTCATTTTATTTTAGGTTAAAAAGAGTTTCAAATTCAATTTTAAAAAACAATTCTTTAGGCATGACCATATAATAATAAAATTTTAAAATATAAAAAGGGTCTAAAATAATGATTAATATCATTACCAGCAAAAAAAAAGATCTTTTTGCATTTGAGTTAAATTAATATTCATAGAATATGCAAATAATTATAAAGAAATTTTTATCTTTCATTCTTCATTAAAGCAAAAAGCAACACTCTGGGTAAATGAGTTTCAAAAAAAGTTATAAATGGCATAAAAAAATAAAATTAACAGGAAATCAGGTGGTACAGTATAACCAAATGGTAACCTTTCCCACGGAAAGGACCAGAAATTTAAAAAGTCTAAAAAATATAAACCATTAAAACGGCCAGTCATGTAAGAGGCTTGTTGGTCTCTCGACGTTGAGTTCGATGTGGAATTATATTCCGAGATGTGATTGGGCGGAAGGTTACTGGACGAAATAGCAAAAGGGTCAGAAGATGGTGGGAGAGGAAAGGCAGTATTGTTGACCAAATCGTTTTTGCGATTCTTATAGTAAAGCGTGTAAAATATTAGATTTAAAACAAATTATCGATTTTTTCTGGTTTTTGAAAAATTTTAGCTAAATAAAATGCTGGGAGATATTTATTAAATTATCCTATATATTTTTTTAAATTTGAAATGTGTGTGCGCATAATTTCGGTGTTCTTTACCATTCTTTCATTCCTAATTTTAAAATAAAATTACAAAACTCACCTCGATTTTAATCAGCCAAATGTCCACTCATTTTTCTAAAGACCTAATCATCTAATTCAATTATTTCCCAATTTTACTAATTTAATTATTTTATTATTAAATTTTAATAGATAACAATTCTATCTTCTCTATTTTTTTACCCTACACTTTACTCCACTTTTTATACCTGATAAATATTTTCGCTGTCCTGCCACCACTTATCGTAGAATGTGAACGCCGATTTTTGGACGAGCATTTTGTGGATATCTTTGTTAATGACGATGTTCAATTCTTCGAATAATTTGGATATAACTTTCATGATAATGCCCTAATATTTTTAATTTTGGAGAAAAAAATAAAGTGTTTATAATACAAATATGTCAGTTAGTTTAAGTACATGTGTAATATTATGACTATTAGAGATGCGCTGATGTTAGAACAAGCGGTCTGCAGAGGTGGGTGGGCTGGCTAAAAGATTTTGAATAATAAGTGGGTGGGTGGGCGGTCGGGTTAAAAAAAATAGTTTAAAAACAATGGGAGGGTGAATTTAAAATATTTTCCTAGCGAAATGAAAAACAACTTCAAAACCTTTTTTTTTATTTCATAATAATGTATATTTTATAAGTTTAAGTAAAAATATATTAAAATAAAATTAGTAAAGAACCAAACCAACCAATAAAATAATTTTTAACATTGGGCGGGCAAATGGGTGGATCAAACAATATTTTTAGACAAATTGGCAGGTGGGCGGGTAATTTTTTTAAAAAGAAAAACAATTAGCGGGTGGGTGAACGGGTTAAATATTTTAAACAATGGGCCGGTGGGTGTCCGGGTTAAACCCAGTCCAATGCAGACCTCCAGTTGGAACCGCTCCTTTTTTTAAGAAAATTAGAATTAAGAAAATTAGCTGATCCGATATATCAAAAGAGCTGATAAAAAAAATGTATTTATACTATTTGATAAAAGAGAATTATTATATCTATTATAACTAGAAGTATTATTTTTTTGCTTAATTTATATAAAAATCAGAAATGTGAAAATGTTGAAAATTGAGATTTGGCGCACCCGGAATTTTAAAAAAAAATCCATATAATATAAACCAGGCAGATATTTTTTATTTTTTATAGTGGCGGCATATGTATAAAATTTAGAACATTTTAGGGCCCGATACAGGTTTTTAAATTTAGACGAATATAAAAAATTATGACCGTCATTAAATGGTTTCAAATGAGAAATTGAAAATCAAGAAGTGAATGAATGTTAAATGCCTCCCCGTCCCCGTGTTAAATTACAACGGGTTATTTGTCATAATTGTTAAAATTATTATTTTTAAATAGGCCCAGCTCTGAAAATATTATATAATATATCTGAAAATCTTGGATGGTCTTAATTAAAGTATGGAAATAAAACTAAGGCCATAATACTAGGATAACAAATAGAGCGTTGTAAAATCGATTCTAAATATTTAAACGTATGCACATTAAAGAATTAATCGTCTGCTTATTAGTCGTATTAATTCAGAATAATTTTCATATTTTAAAAATAATCGAATATTATTACATATTTTATTAAAATCCCTTCAAATGCTACCCTACGTAAACTCAAAAGTGTATCTGGTATTTTGAATATATTAATTCCTGCCTGCCCAACACATCAAAAAACATCCTTATTTTATGTACAATAATTTACAGAAATAATTTAAGAAAAATTGTAGAAATTTATCGATTGTTATCAATCTGTGATATAATATTATAGAGCGAAACTAAGGAAAGCCAAATAATTATGCATGGAAAAAACTTAAAATTTTTTTAAAAAAAATTTATTGACCTGATAATAAGGCGAGATCTTTTTCATGAGAGTTGTGAAAGTATATTGAGGCTGGGAGACAGGGGCGGGTATTTGTGGCGGAAATCCTCTGTAAAATGTACTGTTATCTATATTTCCACTATTGAGAGATGGATCAAATCGAGGGGGAAAAGGAGGGGGTGGTAGCATAGTGGGGTAGAGGTAAGAGGGCAAGGGTGGGGGAGGTGGTAGCATGTGGGAAAGTAAAAAGGAAGGTGTACCGGAATTGAGATTGCTAACTTCGTTTGTGCTTAAGTTGTGTTGGCCGGAAAAGGTATCGAGAGGGATATGGAAATGGGAGGGATAATTTTGGTAACCTTGATGGTGATAATGCAATAAGTGAGGAGCTAGAACACCGGCAAAGTAGGGAGAAAATTTATTATCCGGATTGTTAATGTTTAGATTGCCGTTGGTACTGGCATCATTGGCATTGTGAGGTAGAGAACTATTGGCCAAATTATGTGACTTTTCCTTGTCAGAGAGGAGTCGTTCCCTTTTAATGATTCTGTCCTTGTTTGTGCTATCTCCCCCATCACTCTCTTCTTCTTTGTAAGAGCTCAGAGGGGAAAGGCTCATTTTGTCACAGGCTTCTGTACCATCATCAAATTCTATTTTAATAGACTGGACAATATTGTCCATCTTGTTAGTTGAGATACTGTCAAAAGAATGATTAATATTTTCAGATTTGGCCAAGAATGTTTTAATGGCATCGTCAGTCATAGGCCCTATCTGACTACAAATGTCCTCGCCCGGGTCATAATTATCTTGACTGGGCTCTTTTTTAATAAGGTTTTCTTTATACGGTTTGGACCTATTTTTTATAACATGCCTATGGTGCCCAAGGAGATTTGAGTCCTTGAAGGAATGAAGACTACTTTTCTTGGAAGAATCACTGTGGCTTCTAAAAGAATTCTTATGTTGGTCATAGTCTCTATCTCTCTTATGATGGTGAGTACCACGATAACTATTGCTAATAATAACTTTCCTGTTATCTCTACTCTTTGAGCTAAATGAATTATAATTATGGTTATACTTTTCTTTGTTTGTCTTGTAACCATACTCCCTTTCAGGTGGCCTGTGTTTGTTGTGGTAAAACTCATTTTTATACCTAAATTTATCGCTTGGCTTAGAGTATGATGACTTTTCATAAGTATTATTCTTTTTACCTTTATCAAATTTCTCCCTCTTTATATATGAGGAATATTTGTGTGTATTGTTATTATGATTGTGATTATAATCATGTTTCTTCCAAAGTTTATTATGACTTGTGTACTTTTCATTATGTCTGTTAGAATTGGATAAATGGTTCACATCTTTTTCTTCGTTGAATTGATTTATCTCAACATTAAATTTTTCTTCTTTAGCATATTTGAAGGAATCCTTTCCTTGGGTTTCATCAATTATTTCTATTTGTGTAGTCAATGGGTCCTGAACATAAATGTCAATTTCAGGATTTATTACTTTGGAAATCACTTGTTCATATGGTTTAAATGGCATTTCCATATTGAAATCTTTTGCATATTGGTCTTTATCAGAAATATCATTAAATGAATTATGATTTAAGTCTAAAAAATTTGAGGAGTCCTTGGAATCATTTGAATCTGTGATAATAAACTTGTTAACATTCTGATTTATATCATTGAGGTTTTGGGAATTATTATTTTTAAATAAACTATTCAAGGCACTTTGGGTAGAATCAAAATTAATGTCTGGCGGTGATTCCTTAGATATATTTAAGGAATTATTAATAATATTATGTTCATTTTTAAGTCTGGGATCATATTTTGGCATTGATGGTAGAGAATTGGATAAATTATGGTTGATAGATTTAGGTAGGATAAGAGGAATAAAACTCTTTAAATTATCTGGAATATGATCTCCAACAAAATATACATTTTCACTTAAATATAGATTGACATCAAATGGATGTGCATTATTGCTATTAATGATGCTATCTACAATTTTGCTGCAATGTTTACCTAAATTGTCAAAAAATAATATAATTTTTATGTGATAGATTAGATACCTAAAGGATCAAGAAACACATTTAATGCTTTGCCCATAACTGATACTTTATTTAATTTTTCTATGCAGAGCTTTGCAAATTTTGGTTGCTGAAATATGACTCTGCCAATAGTTAAATGTTTCTTGGAGATTGGATGATAATAAATTTTAAGTTCATCAATTGCACCAAATTTTAAACATAAATCTTCCAAAAACTTTTCTTTAATATTATCATTAAGATTAGTAATGGTTAATTCAATAGATGGTGGGATTCCCACATAATTTTTATCAAGCTAATAATAATAAAATAATTTTTGGAATATAATAAATAATAACTTTAAATTTAGGGATTAATAAATCTGCAATTTTTTTTGAGAATAAAAAATGTGTAAATTGTCTTCTGGGATCTTTTAATATCACACAACTCCCTGTCGGATCCTATCATCAAATTTAAAAAATTTAACATAAAACATTTAATATTACATCAGGTACATGACCATCAAATCTATATATTTTTTTTGAATTGTTCCCTTTTAAAAATGGGTCAACCAATAATTTATAATTATAAAGTTTTGGTTTCTCTTTGTCTTTTTTATCATAATTTGAACCATCTTCTTCTATACCTATTTGGAATATATATATAACTGAAATATATTTACCATTCATAAATGTACATTTATTAGTATCTAAGAGTTCATCCATAAATATTATTTAATCTATGATGGCCAAAACATAAATACAAGTTTCTATCATCTGTTTCAAAATAGAAAACCATCCTTTTTTAAAAAATCGAGTTGATAAAAGGTTACCATCTTCCATACATTTAAATTAAAACTCGGTACAAAGCAAATATATAAAAATGCATTATTAAATATTATGATCCGTGTAATTTTAATTATATAACTTTAATAATTTGTAGCAACATTAACATACTCAATGAAAATAATAATTTACAAATTTTGCACATAAAAGTGACAAATATATACGATATTACTTATCGATCAAAATTCATCAGAAGCTCAATTATAACGAATATTATAATATTCATCTATAATATTAATTAAATTATAAAATTATAATTAATCAATTATAAGTCAAAAGTCAAAACCAAGTGATCCTTTAATTTATACATTGGGTATAGTTAAAATAATAAATATTTTAATTATTTATTTATACAACTTTTATACCTTTAATGATAACATATCAGTGACGAAGCGTCCATAGAAGCAAGGAAGCATTGCTTCCCTTGAAATTTTTCTCACAAAATTCTCAAATAAACTTAATATAATCTTTATACTATACTAAATAAGCTAAACTGACTTCGTTAAAAAAATTAATATAATTTTTATAACGTTAAAAAGATTAATATTATTTTTACTATATTAAGAAATACTATTATTTTTACTAGGTTAAAAAATTTACTATTATTTTTACTACGTTAAAAAAAATATACATGAGGGAAGCAAATTAAATATTGCTTATTTTTTTTAATAAATAAAGAGAAAATCATGCTATGGTATTGTATAATTTTACTATTAAAAAATAAGTATGGAGAAAGCAGATAAAAAAATGGTTATTTTTTTTTAATAAATAAAAAAGAAAAAATTTTTTTATACATAATATTTTTTATCTTACTTTTTTTAAATAAAAAATTTTTTTGTTTTTAAAATCCTTAATTAATGTTTAAAAATTGTAATTGTATTATTGAAAATTTATTAACATTATCATTTAACTCAAGAAATCTTGATGCGAAAAAATTGATTATTGAAAAAGGAAGACCAAAACCAATTTTACAAAACTTAAAAAAGAAATCCAAACTTGCATCAGTAATTTTTCTATCGATAAATATGAATGGCTCATTGGATGTGATTTTCTAATTCTCTATATTGTTGGTCATGCCTATTATTAAGGAAAAATATGTTTGGAATGATAAAGGATTTTCGGATATGAGTATTTCAAAGGCAGTTAAACGGCATGAAGAATCAACCGCTCATTTGTAGTCGATGATTCAATTAAAAATATTTGGCCAAAATCGTATTGAAAATATGATAGATTCGATGCGCAAAATATCAATTGAACAGCATAATTCGAAAGTCAAATCAAATAGAGAAATATTCTAAATATTGATCAACTTTAAATATTTTCTTGGAATTCAGGAGCTTGCATTCCGTGGTGATGACGAACCTTCTAATTCAGTAAATAGAGGAAATTATATTGAATTAATTTATTTGCTGGCGGAAGAAAATTTACTATTGAAACATCATTTATAAAATAGTACAATTTTTGTTGGACTATCAAGCGATATTAATAAATTCCATTTCATATGTCTTACACAAAAATTATTAAATGAATTAGAAGAAACGGAATTTATATCGATAATATTAGATGAAAAAACAGATATCAATAATAAATATCAACTGGCTGTAGTTCTTCGATATGTTTTTAATAACCTGACATTGTATGATAGATTTATTGAATTTTATGATGTTACTATGCAACGAGATGCTAATTCTTTATCAAAATTTGTCATTAAATTCTTGAACGATAAAAAAATTAATGAGTCAAAGTTACGATGTCAAAGCTGTTATGTCAGGCGGTCAATCCTTCAGCACTTTATATTCATTGCTTTGCCCATAAGTTAAATCTTATATTATCAAATTCTTGCAGCAAAATTAAAGAATATAAGGTTTTTTTGCAACCTTATCTGGTTTAGTCATAGTCATTATCTAAACGAACAGCGGAATTTCATAAATACTTGTAGAATCAAAGATGACGGGGAGTGAGATTTTTATTCATTTTTAACGATAGATGTCATGCCAGGTTCAAGCTCATAATATTAAGAAGCATCCAAGATCTTATAATTTTAAAAAAGTTTATCAAGCCCAGCTCAACCCTGAATAATTTGTAAAAGATATTCCCAAGTCAGGTGCAAGCTAATATTTCTTTTGAGGTTCCAAGCCCAGTCCTACCCATTTTAATTTTGAAAATTTTTTCCCGCCTCAGAGATAGTTAAATTTTTATATCTGATTTACCAATTAGTCCAATATGGAAAAAAAACATGTAAATTCCGTATTTATGGGAAACTGGAAAGGCCTGGGCAACCACTTATTAGAGAATCATGACAGATAAAATAAAAATAAACGACTCTTATACTTTTTTGTAATATGATCAATTAAAATTATATCTAAAAAATATGTTGTTTATTATATAAGGTTATTGTTGTTTTTCAGATAAATTTAATGTATGTCTTGCATTTCTGAAATTATTTGTCAAAGAATTTGATGAGGAATATATATTTTTTTATGTTAAGTAAAAAAAAGAAGATGTCTATTAAAATTACAAAAATGCCATTAAACACTAATGAAAATTATATGCAAATTATTTATATATTTTTTAAGATATTTTTTTTTATTGACATATAAATTTAGGATAATTTTTATAAAAAATAATGAGGATTATTTATTATGTATTTGATAAAACTAAGAGCAAATCCTTGTTGACATTTTAATTTTTGATGGAAAAAGTGACAAAATAAATCTGGGCGGTCGTCTGGAGAGGAAATAATTAATGTATAATTTTATATCATTTAGGGTTATAGATGAAAGTAATGACGGATAAACAAAGCAGTGTACAAAACAGATAAAGATGATATGCCTATGCCTTGGGAGACTGGTAAAAGAAGATCGCAAAACGATATTTCTGTCAATGTCAGCATTGGTAACCCCCTCTAAAATAGAATCATGAACGACAATGTTAACTCAAACATAAAACGGTCGTAAGTATTGTTATAAAGCCACGACAGAACTACTGCATATTTTTCCATTAATAAAGTTGATGAAATTGGCTGTACTGTACATTCAAGTTTCAACACGCAAAACGATATTTCTGTCAATGTCAGCATTGGTATCCCCTTCTAAAATAAAATCATCAACGACAATGTTATCTCAGCCATAAAACGGTAGTAAGTATTGTTTTAAAGGCCACGACAGAACTTCCATTAATAAAGTTGATGAAATTGGCTGTACTGTACATTCAAGTTTGAATATTCCTCTAAATATTCATGAAAGTTTCTCAGAGAATCGGATACAGCAATATTTATATTAACTCCTAGTGAAGTGAATGATAGTACAGAATTAAATGTTTATATTTGTTAAAAAATAGGCGGAGGTGGCATAGGGATTGTGGAAGTGGTGATTGAAATATCATTTGGCGAACTGGGTGAAAATAAAATAAACATAGATATAAAACAAAAGATAAAAAAAAATAAAATAAACCACCAGATGAGTTCATTTCAAGCGTAGTTCTTTATTATTTTCTCTACCAGTAACTCTAGAACGGGTAAGACGTTTGTTTAATCGTCATTATTTTCTATGCTTATCATTAATAATAGTTTCATCATGTTTTGTAGCAATGTGAGGGATTAGGGTTAGCCTAGACAAATAAAGAAATCAGGCAAAAATATAAATAAACTATTGTTGATAAACAAACATTAAAATAATGTAAAACCGGTAGATGGGTCAATATTAAATATTTTAGTTGGAGGGCTATCATCAAAAAAAATTTTTGGGGGACTTATCAAGCCTATTATGATATTCTAAAAGTTAAAAAATAACATGATGAATGTAATGTTATTAAGATTAAGGTTAATTAATTGTAAGGTAATTAAAAAATAACATTAAAAAAGGGGGTAAAAAAGAAGGTATAAATTATTATATTTAAAAATAATAAAAATTAAATTAAAGGAATTGTTAAGATTTTGAGAAATAGTGGTTAATAGATAATAGAGATAGAAAGAAAAGAATGAGATAATAAAATTTAGTGATAAATAAATTCATTAAGGAGGGGGAAAAATAAAGAAAGATTTATTTATAAGGATTGGAGTTTATAAATAAGTTAGGATAAGAATATTTAAATATTTGAATATACTTGATTATCTTCTTAATTATTGGTTATGAAAGAAAATTATGAGTATAAAAATTTTAATGTAAGTACTGACAAAAATTGAGAGTATGTTCAAAATAAATATACAAGTTGAGTATCTTGTAGAGATTTCATTAATGTGTAATTGATAATATGAGATGAAAATTGATAAGGTAATCTAAAAAATAAAGAAAGGATTAAGTGAAATATTAGGCTGAATCTTTTTATTCACATCATTTATTTCATTCATATTTAGAAAGTTGAGGGAATATTGTTCATATCAATTCAAAGACGATTTTTTAAATCTCTCAATCCATGTTATATATTTATCTGTTTGTATAAAATAAATAAATAAAATCAACAAATAAAAAAAAAATACGTACCGATGACATGACGTAGCGATGACATGACATCACGATGACGTAGTGAGGACATCGAAAAATTATAATATAGATGTCAAAAAAAGATTACCACGAGTAGGCCCAACGAGATGGGAATACAATTGTCGGCTGGTTCAAACAGTTTTAAATCTTTTGAAGGATCTAGTCGTTTTTTTTTGAAAGTATGATTGATGTAAATTATAATATTGTTTTGTTTGGGATAATGATGATTTCCCAAAATATTTATTAGATAATTTAAACGATACTTATTCTCAATTTTTTGTTACACAAGCTGGAAACCGAATTAAAGGTAGTGTTTTGGGACGATGAATTTAGAAAGAAAAAGAATGCTAATGAAATACTTGAATTTCTAATATGCACCGATTTGATGAAAAGTTATAAAGAGTTTTTTAAATTATGTAAATTCATCTTAACTCTGGCTTTAACAATAGCAAGTGCAGGACGGAGTTTTTCATCTTTAAAAAGAATCAATC